GGGGGGGGGGGGGAGGAAGAAGAAAAAAAAAAAATAAAAAAGGGTAAATAGTTTAAATCCATAAAAACTAATTTGTTGCCTGTTCTACTATTCTATCAAATCAGCATCTCTGTATTTGCTGACAAGACTAAGTAAGTTTCAAGGAAATGAAGCTGAAAGGTTCCCAAGACATTTGAAAAACTACAGCTGGACATTGTGGACATCTCAAATGTAGGCGTAGGCAATAATTCAACATCTATGAAGTACTGCTATAAAAAATAGAAAAATCAAATTCTCTAAAGAGTTTTAACTACAAATGTACTTCATGTTTCCATAGTTAAAGCAATCAGTCAAACTCTTTTATATTATTCTACACGACCATATGAAGAAAGCAATTCTAAAACATATTTTTTAGTGAGTTTAAAGACTTCACTGAGGCTTAACACAGCTGCTCTGACCTCCTCACACAAATACCCATAGACCACAGCAGGCCACGTATTTATGTCAGTTAGGCCAATATCAACAAAAAAGCATTGTTGTCACAATGCTCACTCTGCAGATTTACTCCTTCCCAGCACCATGAGCACATCTTTCAGTGCAACTGAAAACAAGCTAGTCCTATCTGTTTCAACAAGCAGTCAATCTGTTTCAGACCTTTTTCTTCTTGCAGGGCAATGAAGAGGCATCACCATATGGGAAAGTCAAGCTTAGAACAACTTAACATCACATTCATTCAGGGGAAGTACAGACCCAAAAGGCCATGTGACAGAAGTATTTCTCGAGACCTCCTTAGGACATATCTGACATAATATACAGGAAGAAATACGAGAGGAAACACAGCTGATGAAACATTTTGGCCAAAGGAGATGAAGTCACTTGATGAATATAACAATAATTTCTTTTGACTGAGGTTCCTGAGGTACAGAGTTTTGGGGTTGCTAGTTGTTTGTCACGCCATTTTTTGTATTATGCACTGCTAGAGTAACCAGACACAGACAGGTACTAGTAATGACTATGTCCAGCTCACCATGTTAAACACTTTGCTGTTTTACTCAAGCTGTGAATGGAAAAAAACAATTGGGAAAACAAATGCATTTCTGTGAAATAGAATAAGCTAAACAGTAAAACTAACCTCAGCTCTTCAGGAATACCAGATTGCATGAAAATGTAAGAATATGTTGCTAACAATCATAATGGGTGCCTTGACTTTAAAAATTAGTTTATAATTACTTACACTCTGTTCCCTTGGACAATATCAACATAATCTTCTGATCGAGCATAATAGCCATCTGGGCTCAAAGCACCCCAGAAATTGGACCAAAGCTTCCCATGACGAGTTACAAGTGGAGCAATTATCTTTCTGTGAAGTGACACATTGAATAAGAAAATATGAACCATTGACTATATGTCAAAATATACCAGCTTTCCTCAGTTTGGAGTATAGTGTAATTAAAACACCAATGACTGGCAAATCTCAGAACAGCTACTCTGAAATTAAGATGGAAGAAACAGCATTCAAGTATCCACTGTTCAAAAACAACATCAGTGTAAAAGAAGCAAAGATTCCTACAAATTGGAGGTGGCTTAATTTTCAGTCAAGCAAAAAAATACTCCCCATAGCATAAGGACAAAAAGCATCGCAAAATCAAAGACACAAAAAAAAGAAACAAAAACACAGTGAAACTTAGCTTACCTAAAATTTAGTAGAGTCAAAAGGGGAAATCTAAGTTGACCAGAATAAAAAGAATAAAATGGCACTTTGTTTCAGAGGTTGCCTACTGGTAGATTTATTTTGCAAAGCTTCTGTTTCTTCCATCTAGCATATCTGGCTTTTAGTCTCTTTCTACAACAGTAAACATTACAAGGAACATAATGCAAAGGACCAACAGTCACATCTTCATTTAAGCTCCATCCCTCCACACTAGTAGGTCAAAATAGACATTGATAATTTATCGTTCTGTGATACACCTGAGATTCCCAGATTTGTTATGAA